GGAGAAACCCAGAACAGTCGTGCTTGAAGTACATTTTTGAAGTCTTTATTTGGGTGTGTCATCACAATTGAGCACAGCTGTTGCAGCTGGCTGGCTGTGATATGTTTGGCCGTAGCGTTCAGCCTCCCATCACTCGGCATGCTGAAATACACAAGACAGGGCTGTTTATTAGCAACCACGTACACAATGTCACGGACATGAGAGGGCTACGTGAGGTCGTCTTCAACAGAGGATTACATCTAGTCTCATCTGAGGTTAATTCTCGTTATGCAGCCTGCTGGCTAATTTTAATAAATACTTCTAAAAGGTCATTCAATTTGACTGCGTACTGTAATATGAAGTGTATTGAGTTTACTCACCTTGCTGCCTTGGTCCCTGGTGCGGACTCGGAGCTTGTTGACCTGCGATTCGGCCGTGTCGGCCCTTTCTTCTGCATCGTCGACCTCGTGCTGGAGCTTCCTGTACTTGGAGAGGTTGGTGTTGGCCTGCTCCTCCTGCAGACGGAAGGAAAAAGAAACCCATTTAGTGTACACAGTGACCTGAAGAGGTACTCGGGCTAGTTGATCACTGACGGTACAATGATATTAAACCGCTGATGGTGGACTCACCGCTTCTTCAGTCTGCCTCTTGTAACTCTTCACCTTGGTCTGCAGCTTGTCGATGAGGTCCTGCAGGCGGACCAGGTTCTTCTTGTCTTCCTCACCCTTCACAGACAGCACAGGGGCCTCTTAATAACATGGATTCATATTTTACGCCTCGGCATGTCTTTATGTGCAGCCACACTGGTGGTTTACCTGGTAGGAGAGCTCTTTGATCCTCCTCTCATACTTGCGTACTCCCTTCTGATACTCTTGGCTCTTCTTTTGCTCAGCTTCCATTTCGTTCTCCAGTTCTTTGACCTACCAGCAAGACCAGAAAATAAACCAATCCACTCATTACAAATTCCAAACGAGACTCATGAGGATTATCATGTGTGAACGTGATTATATAAGCATTTCATTGGTCTCATCTCTCACCCTGGCCTCCAACTTCTGGACCTGCTTCTTGCCGCCCTTGAGGGCGATCTGCTCGGCTTCGTCCAGACGCATCTGCAGATCCTTTATGGTCTGCTCCATGTTCTTCTTCATCCTCTCCAGATGGGCACTAGTGTCCTGCTCCTTCTTCAGCTCCTCTGCCATCATGGCTGCCTACAAGAATACAGAGGATCAGTGTTAAATGGGCATTAAGTGATCTTACAGCACAGATCAAATTACAGAATATTACAAACTCGCTGGAAAGTCGACAAGATCACTGCCAAGCCCCCCTGTAGATCCATTTTTTATTCTGTTATATAAATGTATGGTATCATGCACTTTGTATTTTATTCATTACAGATCTTACATCAGTGATGGCCTTTTTGGCCTTCTCTTCTGCATTGCGGCACTCCTGCACAGCATCGTCCACCTCATTTGACAGCGTGGACAGATCGTTCTCCAGCTTCTTCTTGTGGTTGATCAGTCCAGTGTTCTGCATCAAAAGAGCACGTTTCAAGAATTCCCCCCAGGATTAAAATGTCAGTTCATCTAAAACTAGTAACCACTAGCTGGGATCATGTAATCAGATTATCTTAACCTTTTACAGATCTAGTAAGACTAGCTAGCCGGGAAAATGAAAATACCCTCTTCATGCAGATCTACAGAAAGTAAGTGACCATTGTTTGATAAGCCCATTTATTTATTTGAAGTATTCTATGTCACTATGTTTTAACCGCTTCCTCCTACCTGAGAGTGCAACAGGTTGACTCTCTCGGTGGCCTCGAGCAGCTCGTGCTCAGCTAGCTTGCGAGCACGGTCGTTCTGCTCCAGCAGAGCCCTGAGCTCCTCCACCTCAGCAGACAGTAGGTTGTTGCGGCGCTCCGTCACCGCCGCCTGCTCCTTCAGCTCGTCGTTCTGGTGAATAGTCTCGTCCAGCTCCAACTGAATGTCCTGTAGTCAGAGGATGTACAAGCAAAATATTTGGTTTGGAATATTTTTCCATGTGCTAATGAATCTTGACATGGGAAAGTTCATCAACTGGCCTCTAGACGGGCTCACCTTGATCTGAACCTGCAGGTTTCTCAGGAGTTTCTGGGACTCTGAGGCCTGCCTGTTGGCATGGCTCAGCTGCACCTCCATCTCATTCAGGTCACCCTCCATCTTCTTCCTCAGGCGCACTGCCTCGTTGCGAGACTTGGCCTCGGCATCCAAGGTGGCCTGCATGGACTCCAGGGTTCTCTGGTGGTTACGGCTAAAAGTTGAAAGAAATCAAGGCGAGAAAATAGTTTGTATTGAGTGGCCGATGGGATAGAATCAAAAGACGAAAAGAGTAACCAATGAATCTCACCGAAGGTTGTCGATTTCCTCATCCTTCTCTGCCAGCTTCCTGTCAATGTCGGCCTTGATCTGGTTAAGCTCTAGCTGGATGCGGAGCGTTTTACTTTCTTCATGCTCCAGAGAACCCTGAGAAGAGAAATGCACTTAATGCTTAAAGATATTCTGTGGGTCACCTCTGTCAAAAAATATCCCATACCACAAGAAGGTGTGAGCGAACTCTGCAAACTGCTTACCTCAGCTTCCTCCAGGGCAGCTTGAATCTCACTTTTTTCCATGTCCAGACTCTTCTTGATTTTCTCAAGCTCTTGGATGGTCTTCGCTCCCTGACTGATTTGATCTGTCAGGTCAGAAATCTCCTCTAAGGGAGTAGAGATAGAAACAAATGTTTATATTTCTTATAAAGTCAAGGTAAAAACACACTAAAGATCTGTTTCAATACAACCTTCTAACTGGGTATTCATGATGTGAGCTACAATGACGGGTACCTTGGAGGTTCTTGTTCTCCCTCTTGATGGTCTCCAGATGATCCAGGGTCTCCTCGTAGGAGTTCTTCAGTTTGAAGAGCTCTGTGCTCAGGCCACGAGACTCTTTTTGAGAGCTCTCCAGCTCTGACTGGCACTCTTCATACTTCTGTTTCCATTCAGCCAGCAGCTGGAGAAAACAATAAGACACAGTGGAGCAGAAGTCTTGAAATAATATGCATGGTTGTAATTGGTACCAGAACCCAAGTCAACATGTAATAAGACAGATGCATACATAAACCATTATTCATTTGACTAATGAGGGTGATTTCCCTTGAGGACAGCAAAAGCAACCCTCTGTATTAGTTGCCATCAGCCCATACCTTGTCAAAGTTGCGTTGCTTCCTGTCCAGTGCAGCAGCAGCAGCATTGGCGCGCTCCAGATCAATGACCAGGTCCTCGATCTCTGTCTGGAGCCGATGTTTAGTCTTCTCCAGGGAGGAGCACTTGGCATTTGAAGCCTCCACCTTCTCTTCAGCGTCCTGCAGACGTGTCACCAGCTTCTTCCTAATGAAAAGGCAATCACAATGTTACGCTCACGCATTCAAACGATCATTACCACCGAATTCTGTAAATTAAACTCATCTCACTCACTTGGCTTCCTCCAGCTCCTCAGTCCTCTGGATGGCGTCAATTTCATACTTAGTCCTCCACTGAGCCACCTCAGCGTTGGCCTTGGACAGACCTCTCTGCATCTCAGCCTTGGCCTCCTGCTCCTCGTCGTACTGCTCTCTCAGAAGATCACAGTCGTGTCGAGATGACTGCAGTGCATGGGCCAGGGCATTCTTAGCCTTAGGAGACCAATCATGATGGTAGACGGCGGTTAGTCGAAGTGGAGGAACTCTGAATTTCTTCAGAGGTAGCTACCAGTTATGTAAATAACCACTGACTGAAGCAGTGACGTGGAGCTCACCTTATTCTCCTCCTCCAGCTGTTTCTTGAGCTCCTCCACATTCTGGCCAAAGCAGTTCTTGGCACGCTGGAGCTGGGAGACCATGGATTCCCGCTCTTCGAGCTTCCGGCTCACCTCACCTGGAGAAAAAGTTACCTGTGAAACTCACCTGTCTGTGAAATCTGTTTGTGAGATTTATGATAAAACGAAAGCTCCTTACCGGCCTCAGCCTGAGCACGAGCTTTTAGGGTGCTGGTGTCGTTGAGCTGCCTCTGGAGCTCCTCGACCTTGGATTTAGCCTCGCTCAATTGGTCTTCATACAGGCGGCACATCTTCTCTGAAGTGGCCTGCAGACGAGAGATCAAAATGTTAGATTTTTGAGGGATTGATCTCGTTTGGTTCCATGCTACTCAGCGTGTCTATCCTCTTATTTTTGATTTACCTTGCCCTTGGAGAGGTGCTCCACAGTAGAGGCCAGATCATCAACCTCCAGCTTGGCCTCGCTCCTCTCCTTGTCCAGCTTCTGCTTGACCCGCTGCAGGCTGTCGATCTGCTCGCTCAGCTCTGCGATGCTGTCGGCGTGCTTCTTCCGCAAGGTCGCCGTAGTGGCCTCGTGGTGCAGCATGGCTTCCTCTAGGTCTCGCCGCAGCTTCAGGAAGTCCGCCTCTCTCTTCTTGTTGACCTCGATCTGAGCCGAGGTGGCCCCACCAGCCTCCTCCAGGCGCTCGCTCAGCTCTTCCAGCTCACGGGCCACATCGCCACGCTGCTTCTCCACTTTGGCCCTGCAAGCCCGGTCGGCCTCAAGCTCCTCCTCCAGCTCCTCTACACGAGCCTGGAAGAAAAAATAAGTCAGTTATTTTGTCAAAATGATGTTTCATAACTGCTCTATTGGAGGTTGAGACTTGTTCCCACCTGCAGCTCCTTTATCTTCTTCTCGAGCTGATTGACCAAGGCTTGCTCATCTTCTATTCTTGAGCTGATCGCATTCATTTCAAAGTCTTTCCTGGTAGAGAACAGTCATTGTTAATCATTATTT